TATTTAAGTCTTAACTATAATTTAATTGTTCAAAAATTATATATTTTAATATTTGCTTTCCAATCAATCTTCAGGAACTGAAAAATTTTTGAAGTCTTCAACAATATCATCAATAATTTTATCTTGCATCAAGCTAGCTGGGCTCCCCCATTTTTTTCAAATTTTTTTAATTTTTTTCACTGGCTAGCGGGTAACCCGCGAAATCCACGGGTTACACCTCCTTGACCTGTGAACCGCTCGCTCGGGTCACGAGTCGACCCGCGGTCCTGGTCGATCCGGGCCGATTTTCACAGGTCTTGCCGACTCATCCGTCTTGACGCCTTTAGTTAAAAGTAGTGAAAAATTTTGAATTTACGTGAAAAATATTTTATTGGATAAATTCATGATTGAAAATGAGTATGAATTTTGTTTCAAAGGGAGACAAACAAAGGCTAAGAAGTTCAGATAATCAATCAATAACTACGGAGTAGAAGCTCGAGAAAACCTTGCGTTTGAGTAGCACTTTTTATTATAGGATGGCACTGCCAAAAACATTCAAGAAAACCTTAGGGATTCATTCACCTGGAGCGAAATTGTATAATCCAAGAATTCTATAAATACAGCGTCGCTATTCACTTAGGGAGATTCGCAACCAGTGAGATCTGCAGTTGCTGTCTTGAACTCCAAGGACGTACTACTGAACACGACTAGACACTATACAGTACTTGTAAAATCATTGTACACAGCACGTCATCAGCAAATAACTTTCTTAACAAAGATTATGACTGCACGGAAGGACACGTGTATCAAGATGGGTCCGAAAACTTGAATGGTGCATGTGGTGGAAAACTTTGAGAATACCTTATAGTACACTAGAGGCAACAGGAATACTACAGTGATATAGAACAGATGAGAAGAACTGTAACAATATCAGATAATCATTTTTCACAAGGAAATTTCAGCCATAGAAATATTAAAAGCAAATAGAATGTTAAATCTACGGAGAATTTGCATCGAGTAAATAAGTGCATTTGCAAAGTTTTACGCATCAAACACGGCCTAGTTACAAGGAAATGCATCTCAAGCACAGACAATATAATTGGCCAAATCATATATCAAAATTGACCGCTAAATCTCTATGAATGTATCATATGTACACGAAAAATGTTTCGAAAAATGGCATTGCTTTCAAATTTCTTCCCTGCGAAAATCATCCTACTCATGGGTTACCATTTATGCCCAAAAAAGCAGCTTCATCCTTCAAGTCAAAATTGGCCGCTTCGTGCAAATTGCTTCAACCGTTGCACTAGCCAACAGCCCTTTTGCCAATAGATGAGGCTGTAGATCACCATCAAATGAATGAGACAACACGGATATAACTATTTCAAGCCACTAATTTTTTTAACTGTATCAGTTCCAGAAACACATTCATCTTCTAAAAATGGAATCGTCTTCCACACTGTTAAGTTGACCGGAATAGCTCTTTTGCCTACAAACAAACACACTGGGTCAAACTTTTGTCTTTTATACCAAAAAATATTTATATAAAATTCAAATTTAATGTTACAAGAATTATTTATAACTTTATAAAGTTAAATTTAACTTAAACAAATAACAATTAAATGCATTTCTAATTACTATTATCAAATATTTATAGTATAAGTCCAAATTAGGTTGACACCTACTTTTATTATAATTTATAATTTTAGTACATACCAACGAGGTTGACACCTATTTAAGTCTTAACTATAATTTAGTTGTTCAAAAATTATATATTTTAATATTTGCTTTCCAATCAATCTTCAGGAACTGAAAAATTTTTGAAGTCTTCAACAATATCAATAATTTTATCTTGCATCAAGCTAGCTGGGCTCCCCCATTTTTTTCAAATTTAAAAAATTTTTTTTTTCATTGGCCAGCGAGTAACTCGCGAAATCCACGGGTTACACCTCCTTGACCTGTGAACCGCCCGCTCGGGTCACGAGTCGACCCGCGGTCCTGGATCGATCCGGGCCGATTTTCACGGGTCTTGCCGACTCATCTGTCTTGACGCCTATAGTTAAAAGTAGTGAAAATTTTTGAATTTACGTAAAAAAATATTTTATTGGATAAATTCATGATTGAAAATGAGTATGAATTTTGTTTCAAAGGGAGACAAACAAAGGCTAAGAAGTTCAGATAATCAATCAATAACTACAAAGATGAAGCCAGCCAGTTACCCTACGAACTTCTCAAACATGTGTCACTACACACAAATACAATATTAACGGAGTAGAAGCTCGAGAAAACCTTCCGTATGAGTAGCACTTTTTATTATAGGATGGCACTGCCAAAAATATTCAAGAAAACCTTAGGGATTCACTCACCTGGAGCGAAATTGTATAATCCAAGAATTCTATAAATACAGCGTCGCTATTCACTTGGGGAGATTCGCAACCAGTGAGATCTGCAGTTGCTGTCTTGAACTCCAAGGACGTACTACTGAACACGACTAGACACTATACAGTACTTGTAAAATCATTGTACAAAGCACGTCATCAGCAAATAACTTTCTTAACAAAGATTATAACTGCACGGAAGGACACGTGTATCAAGATGAGTCCGAAAACTTGAATGGTGCATGTGGTGGAAAATTTTGAGAATACCTTATAGTACACTAGAGGCAACAGGGATACTACAATGATATAGAACAGATGAGAAGAACTGTAACAATATCAGATAATCAGATAATCATTTTTCACAAGGAAATTTCAGCCATAGAAATATTAAAAGCAAATAGAATGTTAAATCAACGGAGAATTTGCATCGAGTAAATAAGTGCATTTGCAAAGTTTTACGCATCAAACACGGCCTAGTTACAAGGAAAGGAAATGCATCTCCAGCACAGGCAATATAATTGGCCAAATCATATATCAAAATTGACCGCTAAATCTCTATGAATGTATCATATGTACACGATAAATGTTTCGAAAAATGGCATTGCTTTCAAATTCCTTCCCTGCGAAAATCATCCTATTCATGGGTTACCATTTATGCCCAAAAAAGCAGCTTCATCCTTCAAGTCAAAAATGGCCGCTTCGTGCAAACTGCTTCAACCGTTGCACTAGCCAACAGCCCTTTTGCCAATAGATGAGGCTGTAGATCACCATCAAATGAATGAGACAACACGGATATAACTATTTCAAGCCACTAATTTTTTTAACTGCATCAGTTCCAGAAACACATTCATCTTCTAAAAATGGAATCGTCTTCCACACTGTTAAGTTCACCGGAATAGCTCTTTTGCCTACAAATTTTGTGTGACCCAGTTTGAAAACAGTACAGATATTCCTTAACTCGTGCCAAATTTTGAGTAATACCTTCAATGGCACCATTATTTTCCATGCAAATGGCTGCATAATGAGAACCGGCCAACTCTAAGAGCAAAAACTGCCAATTACTTGTAAGCTCCATGGGGTCATAAAAAGAATCCACTACTATTTCCTGAGCATGAGAGCATATTTGACATGTAACCAGATGAAGTAATGAATTGAATAATAATTAAATGAAGAAACAGATACTGAAAAAGAAGTGTCTCACTAGAAATTTGAAATACAAATTTCCAAACCTACAAAGTCAAGAATAGGATCATGTTCATTTTAAGTAAACTAGACTGCACATACAACTAGCAGGTAAGGACAGAGGAGAATTGATTTCAAATTAAACATCTATTGTTAACATAAGAGTTGCAACGTTCAGGGATATAAATGTGCTTTTGACACCACATCCTTGACACAACAAGATGTGAACTTTTTCCTTTTCCTCTTCATTTTTTGGTAAATAATCAACAAGTGGACTTCGAGCTTATTTAGGAATTGTCGCTCTCTTCTTTTCTTTCTTTTGGATTCCTGTCCAAAAGTTTGTGTTTATTCGTTTTCCCTTTTTTCCTTACAGACATGAAAGATATGTGACCAGAAGGATTTTTTTTTCCAAAAACAAAATCCACAATGAAGAAAATACAAGAAGGACGACATAGCCAAGTATTTAAAAAATCTCAGCCATATGGGTTCAATCCAGATACTTCGCCTTCAATTTCAATCTAATACGATAAGATGGAATGCATAATCTAAACAGTAATTACTTCACATTCAATTTCAAAAAGAAATTTCCTAACAAACCTCAGAACTTGAATTCTCCAATGGACTAAAGCTACCTCCTTTATAGCGAATAGTAAATGTCTTGAAAGGTGCACCAGAAAATCCCCTTCCCAGTGCTTTGACATATGCCTCCTGGAAATAAATTGCCTTCAGGTGAAAAACTGTGAATTGGAGAATGGTGTTTTGCATTGCATTTCCAGTATGATTCATTTATCAATGGGTCCATAAAGAAGTTGGATAAACTGAAGAAGGAAGATGAAAAAATGAATGAGTAAGACCTTGAGTGTCCATAATTTTACAAATTCCTGGCGTTGAACTTCAGGGTCCAAAATATCAGCTAAGAACTGAACTTCATCTTTAGAGAAGTATCGTCGAGCAAAGGACAAGATATTGTGTTTTATAGTTCTGTGTTTTTCTTCCACGTCAATGCCAATCTATATTTGGAAATCACACCAGACAAGCCTTCTCAGTTCATCATAACAGCAGGTAAAGAAAATGAAGAATAAAAACAATTAATTTTTCAAATCGATTGCATAACCCAACAGCGAGAATGATCACAGTACTAACTTGAGAATTGACGGTTACTCCACAAGCTACCAAAGAAGAAGTGTGTGAGATGTTGAAATGCAAATGAGGTGAAAGCCAGTGATCACTGAATTGCCATTCTAGCTGCCAAAACATTCCACAACTGTTAAAAGTGTAAGCATAGATAGTTGAATAACACTAAAAAGAATAAAAAATTAATTTAAAACTAACCTCAGGCTTCCCATGAACGTTCTTTCTGAACCTCAATGATCTTGGACTAACTTGGGAGTTTATCTGATCTAACAAATACCATTATGTTTTTGAGAAATCATGTAAACTTCACATCAAATACAAGCATTTCACTGACTGTTTCAGCAGAGATATGCAGCTCTACTTTATGGTTAAGTATGAATTCTACTAAAGAACGCATGGGAGAAACAATTCCGAGGCATTAAGATTTCAAAAGCAAACATTTTCCCAACTTGATTACCTTTTAATTCCGGATTGACATCATCATAAATATCATTATCATTTAATTGATTTGTACACAAAATAAGTTCCAAATATAAATCCAAAATAAAAACGTTCAAGTTACATCATGTGGGGATTAATGCAAATGATCTTGAAACATTCAGTACCTAATTCACATATCAAAGACTTTAATCCTTTTGGGAATAGATTTTGTAATAGTGATTTTTTTGAGAAATGAATCGTTAAAAAGTAGGAAAAAAATTGGGTTTGCTTGTAAAATTATTTTATTTGGGAGAATAGGCGGTTGAAAATGAGGATGAGGAAAATGAAATTTTAAAGAATGGGGCTCAAACTGGGGTTTAGTTTGCAGATAAACTTAATCAATTAAAGGCTTAAACTATGGGGAGAAAAAATTAACAGCGCCCTTATTTTCATAGCTCCCGAACTTGAAAGTTTAAATCCAGAATTCACAAAGAAATTACTTCAAATTGTACATATATATAACATAACTAATTCTTACTCCAACTTGAAATCGTATTAAGTACAAGACAATACATTATGTTCAAATTAAAATAAACGTTTAACATACATCTGGCAATGGTTGTGCGGACCAATGCACGAGCCAGTAGTGCTCTCTTCCTGGGCTCCTCACCCCGCATTTGAAATACATTCTCTTTCTCACACGGAGATAGAATATCCAAATACTGGTTCAATAAAGCTTCGCTCTTCACTTCACTGGGTATAACATACCACAAATGGATCTCCCTACAACCCAATAAAATCACCGAAAAATATCATCAAGTGTTACTCTATAATTTAACAGAATTATACATAAAAGACAGAAAAATGATGTAATATTAAACCTTACATACATCGGTGAAGGGAGTTGAATGGGCGTCAACGAAGGTGGAGAGTGGAAGAATTTCCTGTCAAAGCTATGTATTTTCATTCTAAAATACGATCTGCGCATCAGATGAAAAATTGGATTTGTAGAAATGATTAATATTTGCAGATAAATAAACACAAATTTAGAGGATGGGGGCGATACGTTCTTTAATTTAATTTGGGTATTGTTTGGTTCAATGGGAATTGACTGGGAGTCCGACCTGGATCCAGCTTCTCAAACTTGTCGGATCTTTTTTTTTTTTTTTTTTCAATTGGGTTATACACAATAAAATCTCAATGAATTTTCAACAATAATAATTGAAAAAATGCTGCAACTACAAGGCTATCTTGATCCTGTATCCGCACGTACAGGTCGTGTTAGGGTTTATCACAGGAGAAAAAGTGTCACCTTGGCACGTACGGGGCTGACGTGCCTTACACGAGTAGCATCGTTCTAATAATTTCGCTTGAATAATAAAGATTTTGGAATCAGACTAGCTAAGGTCATAATATAATATTTTATTTAAAATTCTATAAAGTCAACAAAAATATAAAATAATAATTGATTAAATATGTGAGATTTTAAATTTATATTAAAAAGCATTTTACAAGACTCCTACCTATCTTTTCCCAATATATTTAGAAAATGCATCTAAAGTCGATTATTTTCTTTGTGCTCAAACCGAACTTAACATCCCTATTTTTTATTTTTTTTTGAAATGCATATGCCATTATTTGCTATATCGATGAAGTTCTATTGGCATTCCTCATCCTTATTTCGAAAGCTAGTCCAACCTTAATGTTAAACTTATAAGAAAAAAAAGTTTATCCCACATGTTATGTATGGTGCTATATGAAAGATCGTCAAACTTGAGAGGAAATGATGAAATAACTTACATCAACAAATAACAATACAGGTTTTTTCAAGCTAAACAAGATTCATTACACTGAAATTACAAAATTCCACAGCAAAAAATAGAGAAATAGCAGAATTTGTAGGACAAGCTACTGAAGGAAGTCTATAGTGAGACGAAGAAATTTGAGAATAACTCCACGCAGAATTGAATAGCACTTGAATGAATCCTGCACATGATCTCCAAACGGAAATCAAAATGTATTTAACATCTTCCATCCGTTGGCAAATCTGCAGTCCGACATCGTCCAAAAGCATAATATGACGAACTTCACCTCCATTCTTCGACCCGTTCTGTTTGTGAATTTAAGAGGCTAACAATGCTTATTTCCTTGCTCTTTTCTGAGTTCTCAGAAACAGGGACTACAGTTGGCTGAATAACCTTTTTGGCTGTGTTCTTACTTGATTGTCCCATTTTAGTCCTCCGGCTTTTTGATTGGGACTGTCTAATTCTCACATAAGTGTTACCGTCTCCAACTCTATCCTTTGTCGAGTCAACATGATTTGTCATATTGATAGGGCAAGTCATAACCATACGTTCCTTTCCATCAGGAAAGATATTCTCGACAGAGCTTAGGCAAGAAGGCATTTCATTGCTAGTACTGTTAAATTCTGCCTGGGAAGAGTCTTCAGCATCATTAGGTAGTGGTTCGTTGGTTACATTAACTTGGTCATCTTCACTTACCTCAATGGCCTTCCGGGTTATTGGTTCCCCGATCCCATGATGATCATCTTCATCAGCTGGCTCAATTTGTTTTACAGGAGCTACATCTACTACATAATCTTCTCTTTCTCTCAAGGTTTTCTCTATCAGAGTCTTCAGAAAATTCATTACTTGGACTGCATGCATTAATGCTGTCAAAGGGTCGGACATCTGAGCCCAGTAAAAAGTTAGCCATCCTCAAAAAGTATTGCGGAAATATAATAGGAAAATGAGACTTTTTTCCCTAGATTATGCTTATGGACTTGAATGATTACAGGAGGACAGTCTATTTCTACTCACCTGAGTCATGTTTGGTGCAAATACCATGGCAATATTACGTGCATTCATTTTGTTCAGATGTTCAAACTGAGCAACATCGGCCATCAAATTTATTGTCCAGTCCAATAGCGCAGCCTCTGTAGGTGGGAGTAGCCTTGCAAGCTGAGTGCACTCGTCTTCTGATTGTGCCTGCATAACTTGCTCTGGTGAAAGAGGGTCCAACACCCCTCGTGGGAGTTCTCTAAACCAAGCCTACAGAGAACCAACACTATTGAGTTACTGCAACATTTATCAGATGAGCTAAAAAATCAGAAATTCCATAATTCACTAAACGTATGTAGATGCCTAAAAGAAAGAGGCGTGTATAAGAATAATCAGCAGAATGGCTACTTTGCCTAACTCTGAATATCTATTGAATTATCTTCATGTGACGTGGCATAATAATGGATCAATAACCTATATAAGAACACTTTGTGATGCAAAAAGAACGAAAGAAGAAGATCAAGTCGCAGAGCAGTACCTTAATAAGACCTGCTAAACAATGAACATCAATGTCATCAGGCACCTCTCCATTATTTAGTTGTTCCCTAACATACTCTTCCTGGCCATTCTCAGCATTAATTCTAAAGATTCCTTCTGCCTGCAAATGGCTATGGATTAATGAATTTCTTCCAAATTTGAACAGTATAAAAATAGAAAGATTTTAACTACTTAGTCGAATATTCTGTTTTATATTAAATTTAAGACCAAAAAAGAATTTTTTTCATAGTAATAGTGTGATGTTACCTGCAGCCCACCTTGGCGATACAAGCGTCTTTGCATCATAAGAAGTATTGTAGGCATACAATTACCTCTGGAGTCGAAAGAAAGCTGCATAGACTCTGTCGAAACTCCAAAAACTCTTGTACTATACAAAGAAATACATCGAAGTTAGTATAACGTAAAATTGGGCAGCGTTCATTATCTGATAGCCAATCAATAATTATGAAAATCGAAAAATAATCTCATCTGAAGGCCTCGAAGCCTTACAGATTATAAGCACCACGCAAAAATTACATTTCACGATATACTAACATATGTAAAGAGTTTAAAACAGGAAATGCTTCAGTTCCATGATAATGTTTTGTAATTACTTTGAATCAAGAACTGAAATGCAAATGGTTAAAGATATAGAAAGATTCCGGTGGTCTCCATGACATTTCCCGATCATTTATAGTTTGATCGTGTAACTAGAATAAACTATTTACTTCTACTTCATCTTGACAGTTTCATCAAAAGAAAAGCTACACAAATAGAGTTTCTAGTCAATCTCATATTACGGTTAACCACCTCGTCTAAAAAATAAATAAATAAAAATTAAACTTTTAGTATCATGTTCAAGTTAAGATGTTTAACGGAAAAATGAATCGAACTCGTAACTCGATTTGGTGGTGGGGTGAAATTGAAAACATTAACTAACCTTGCACTGGGAGGTATTCTAGGGACTTCAGGTTCAAACTCAACAGGGAGTCCAAGAAACCCATTGAACCTATCAAAAATGACATGAGCTACATGTCTGACATTTGTAGGCCACCCAATCTCCATCAGCCTCTCAACGGCGCCACTCTCCGCCTCTGTACTTCGGCAACCCACCAAAGATTTCCTAAAAACACTCACTAAAACTTCCAAAACAGAAAACTGATCCTCCTCTCCTCCTTGTTGTTCCACCTCTTGTATACCATTATCTCTCCGGTAAAAAGCTACAGGGCGCCCATTAATAAGGGATTCATTGTTAAGAAAAGCTTGTTGGTGAAACCCATTAATGTTTGAGGGCAATACACGCGTAACGGAGCTTGAAGTTGAAGACAAATGTGGTGGGGAAGAATGCAATATGTCTCTCATTTCTTGAATTGTAAATAGTGCGTATTGTGCGCGTTTCAAGATTGGGGTTTTATTGGAGGGAAAATTGCAGAGTTTGGTGGGTTTATTATTATTACTTTTTGGGGTAAATTTATTGTAGATGGTAATGATGATGATTGGTTTGGTAGATTATAGTAAAGTGATGAATAGAGAAGAGTAGAAATTGGATATGAATGATTTGGGACTTCTGTTCAGTAGAGTTTGTTTCAAGTAAAGGTGTTTTTGGCCGTTGAGACTTGTACATAATCATTCATTCTTCTTTCTCATATATGTACATACAGTGCTTATGAGAGTTGCTTGGTGTACAGGGAAATGGCAGCCAGGGCAATCATTGGAGAATGTAGCACAATTTCATTAGGCTCCTGTTTGTACACATTAAAATTTTCATTCTCATTCTTTTACCCATTTTCAACCACACATTCTTCAATAAAATAATATTTTTCATCACATCAATAATTTTTCCTTCTTTTTCAACCACAAATTCTCCATCAATCTACTATTCCAGAATACATTCTTTTAAAATAATGTGGATCAAACACACC